GCGCGCTGCTGCTGCCCCTCGACGCCTACGGCCATGGGCTGCTGCACGCGCTGCCCGCCGACGCCTGCCGGCCCCGCGGACACGCCAAGAGGAAGAGCTGGAACTTCATCCACGAGAAGATGAGCTACGACACCTTCTTCACCATGAAGCGGCTCATCGAGCGCTCGCGCAGCGTGGGCGAGGTGCTGCGCTGGGTCACGCAGAACCCCGGCAAGGTGTCCGCCAGCCACTACCCCATCGCGCTGCACAAGCTGGGCCAGCTGCTGCAGCAGCAGCAGGGCCAGCCCGCGCTCAACGGCGAGAGCCGCGGCGCGGGCCACGTGCTGGAGCAGCCCGAGTTCCAGGCGCTCTGTCAGGCCATCATCGGCGGCTGCGCCAAGTTCGACAACTTCAGCATCGTCAACTGCCTGTACGCGGCGGCGGCCCTGGGTGAGCGCCGGGCCCGCGGCGGCGGGCGGGCGGGCGGGCGCCTGGAGCGCGTTGCCGTGGGTGCGGGTGTTGGGTGCAGGCGGGTGCCGGTGTTGGGTGCAGGTATTGGGCGCTGCTGGTGCCGCCGCCGCACGCGCCCGGTCCCCGCGCCCTGCTCCCACACTGTCCTCCAGCCAGCGCGGCAGCCTCGTCCGCAGTAGAGACTCCGCTCAGGACCACGTCCTTTCCTTCCCGCGCGGAGGGCAGCGCGTCCCTTGGCCGCTGGTGACAGCGGAGCGGCCTCAGCCCCGAGCGCGTCCCCCAGTCCCCGTTCTCACGTGGCGCTGCCAGCCTTTCCTCCCGTCTCCTCCGCTTTTCTCGCTCTGTTTGCTCTCTTTCCCAGCCGGCGGCTGTGTTCTGCAGAGCCGCTCGGGGCCAGTCACGTTGAGGCAATAATTTGGGATTAACGTGGCGCGGGAAGGAGGTTTCCGTCCCCCGCGGTGCCGCCCCGCGCTGTTGCTGCTCCCGGGTGCCCCCGGCCGCTCCGCTCGGCCCGCACGTTGTTGTCCGCGCGCTGCCCTTCCCTCCTCCCAGCTCATTAACGGGAGCGCTGGGCAGCCTCCCGAGCTCCACCGGGAACAAAGCAGCTGCTCAGACCAATTCTTCACTTTCCACCTTCTGACTGATGTTTGATTAATGATAAAACAAAGCGTCCTACCCCATGCTGCCTTCGCCGCTCTAAAGCCCTTTTGAAAGTTGCAGTGTTGTCAGGCGGCTTCGGCGGGCGCCGGCTCCCGCGGCCCCGTGCAGTGCGCATAATGCTGCGGAAAATATCCCTCCTGACACGCGCCGCTGCCCTCTGCCTCCCGCCGCGGCCCGGCCGGCCCCTCGGGGCTGCAGGGGAGCGTTTCTCCCCAAAGCCGTGTTTGAAATGGGATACAGGAGGCTTCGGAAGCGTAAATCCCAGTGCTGCAGAGGCCTTTCTTCTTTCAGAAACGTGCTAATGTCTTCCTTGGTCAGCTCACAGAGCAGTGTTTTAAAAGTACGTTTTGAGACAGGTGGTTTTTCTTTGAGAAGCCTTGGATTGACAAATGGCCCTGATTTTTGTCGATGAAGTAAACTGCCCTTTAGTAAACTGGCTGCGTGCGGGGGCGTCATCCCTTTGGCTGCTCCTGCGTTCCTGGGGCTCCCTCCCGTCCCTGTGCATTCGAGGACTCTGCTGACGCCGTGTCCCCGCAGGGCTGCCCAGGGCCCCCTCCCGTCCCCGCGCGTTCGGGGCTCTGCTGACGCCGTGTCCCCGCAGGGCTGCCCGGGGC